AAAAAAAAAAGAAAAAAAAAGAGGAAAAAATGCAAACCCAGAAGTGTTTCAAAGATGTGGGGCAGCTCTGCCCCCGATTCACTACTGAATGAAAAAGGGCTGCCATGGAGTTAGCCACAGGTACTGCTGATTATAGGGCCAGTAAGTTTTAGTACCTGAAGTATGTCTTGCTGAGGGCTTGGGGTGGGCTTTGGGGTTGTTTTTTTGGGGTGGGCTTGGTTTTTTGTTGAATTTTGCCGGGTTTTTTTTTTGTTTGTTTGTTTTGGTTTTTTTTGATTTTGAAATCATTCGTGCCAATGTGTTCTCACCCAGAGGGAGAGCGGTGACCTGGGGAGGCTGAAGCAGCTCTTGGGCACTTCCTCAGGCCTGTCCTGGTGGGATTTGCAGCTGGAATTCCTGCCAGGATGGGAATTCGGGTAACCCTGAGCCCGTTTCCATTCATTATCCACCCCCCCATGCTGGGTTTCACACAGGATGGGTCTGACAGCAAGGAATTCTGCATTCACTGCCCTTTAGGCACCTCCTTGTTTTTCTGGGGGGTTTTCCCTAGCAAATGAGGGTGATCAGGAATTTTTGCTGCCCTGCTTGGCACAGCGTGGTTCCAGCCTGGGCTGGGCTGCTCCTGCCAGGTGTGTGAGGAGCACAGCCTCTTCCCAAGATTTCAGCTCTTCAAGGGAGCATCCTGCACATCCCACGGACAGCCAGAGCTTTGCTCAGCACCAGGATCCTCCTGCTCCTCTAAACCAAACGTTTTCCCTTTAGCTGCTGGCAAGAAATCACCTCTGTCCCTTGTCAGAGCAATCCCAGCTCTTCCTCTTCCCCCAGGAACCTGTGGGGGATGAGCTCAGGTGGCAGGAGAGGGAGCAGAGGTGGATTTGGTGTGGGAGTTGGAGCCAGGAGCCCTTTTTGGAGGGTAGGGAGGAATTCCTGTTGTTGCCAGCAGCAGCCAGGAGCTCCTGGATTTTTGGGATGCACCAAATGTGTGGGATTACTGTCAGTATTAACCCAGCACTTCATCCTCATGGATGGGCTCTCCCCTGCTCACCTCAGCCCCACAATTCCCAGGTTATAAACACCCAAATTTCCTCTGAGAACCGCCCAGCCTGGAACAGCCACAGCTGGGCTGGGACCCCTTTTCCCCGGACACTCCAAAACCAGGAGCAGTTCTTGTGACCTCAGTGATCTGAAGGGTTCCCAGAGGCTTCCATGGAATTCCAGAACAGAGGGAGCTCAGTCTGGCTCTGGGAGAATGTTCTGGAAGAGCAGCCAAGGTGGGGTTTGGGGAGGCCTGGGTGGTTCCTGTGGTTGAGCACAAAATCCTCGCTGGGGGCTCTCCAGGTTGCCAGAATTCCAAGGTCTCTGGTGGTTCCTGGATTTACCCTCTGTGAAAAGCTGGGAATGCAGCGAGTTTGTGAATTCACGTTTTTGCCTGCTGGAGTGGAGTGGATTCCCCCCACATCCCCTCATTCTGCCTCGGGGTGACCCACAGGGTGAGGGGCAGTGTGTCCCTTCCCTGTCAGGGTGGGTAAGGGGGAATTCCCCCTCAGGGCCAGGCTGGGGTGGCAGAAATTCGGGAATGCTGGAGGAGCCCAGTTCTGTGGGGACAGAAATCCCACTCTGGGCTCCTGCTGGCTCTGCTTCCAGCTCATCCTCACAAACAGGGATGGTGGTGGGCAGGGATCCCTCCCCTGGAGGGACAGGGAATTCCTTTTTGCCAGGGAATTCCTTTGTTCCAGGGAACTCCTTTTGCCCAGGGAATTCCTTTTTCCCAGAGAACTCCTTTCCCCAAGGAATTCCCTTTTCCAAGGAATTCCTTTTTCCAGGGAATTCCTTTGTTCCAGGGAACTCCTTTTGCCCAGGGAATTCCTTTTTCCCAGAGAACTCCTTTCCCCAAGGAATTCCCTTTTCCAAGGAATTCCTTTTTCCAGGGAATTCCTTTCCCCAGGGAACTCCTTTTTTCCTCCCTGGCACAGCTGCAGCAGCACAGACCTCGGGCTGGGGCTCAAATGCACTATTCAGGATTCCCACAGATTTTTTTCCCTCCTTTAAGCCATAAGATTTCCCCTTCATTTAAAATTAAATTTTCATTTTACTTTCCCCCCCGTTGGTTGGCATTCCCTTATCCAAACAGTTCTCTGGAGTTTTGTTTTTTGGTTTTTTTTTTGTCCCAGCCCCTCACCCCAAAAATATTTTTCCCCCCTTTTCCCCACAAGAAGAACAAGGATTTCTTATTTTGGGAACAAGGATGTAAGAACATCTTCTGAGAGGTCATTTCCCTTCTGCTGTCACACAGCTGGTGGAAAAGCCAAAAGCTCAAGATGGAATTTCCTTGGAATGGGAATTCCCTTCTCCTGCAGAAGATCCCTGACTGCCCTGGTGTGTAGGGGTGGGATCACAGGGTGAGGAGTGCCAAGCTCAGGAGCTCTCAGACACTGTTCCAGTGCTCTCAGATTGGATATTCTGATTTTTATCTCCCTGCTGTTCAATTCCATTCTCCTGGATCCAGTATTTTCTCCCAAAGCAATCCCTGGATTCCCTCCCCTTCCCCAAAGGTGCCAACTGACAAGCAGATGTACTGCAAAAGGGATACTGCAGCCAAAACACTGCTGTTTTATTTTGAATTAAGTCTTGTGGAGCTCTCTTCATACTAGAATATTTTTATTTTCTTTGTACAACATACAATCATGTACTCTTAACAGAGATTTACTTTAAAGAGAAGAAAAAAAAAATCTGGAGGTATTCTTTAAAAAAAAATACACAAAAATCTTTATTAATAATCCTGTATTTTTACTGATCATGTTTGAATGTCTAAAAAGACTTTATTGTTCTAATTATCCAGATGTATGTTTGTAAAATAGCTCTTTTATGACTTAGCTGATCGGGTTGTATGTTTCTGGAATTAAATATTGGTCACTTAAAAGAAAAAAAAAAAGAAATCTGTTTTCAGGACCTGGAAAATAGAAAATTTAAGCGTTTCAAATATCATTAAATAAGCTTAAAGGAAAATGAGCTTTGTCTGGTGGATTTTTTGGGGTAGTTTGGCTGTAATTGCCTGAGTGTTTAAAGGACAAATGATGGCTAAGGAAAGTTTCCTTGGGGCTGATGAATTTTTTTCCAGAGATTGAAGTACCTTGATTGTATTTTTGCTGCTCAGACTTTATGAATTATTAATTACTTAATTAATTAATTGACAGAGCACCAACTACAGGAAAGGAAACCCCCCCTTGCTCCCAGCTGAGCTGACCCTTCAGGAGATTCCCTGCAGGAACGAAGCCTTGGTGTGTCCTGCACCCCCAGGGCCCTCCTGGGTGCTCCTGCAGGTGAGATTATAAAGGGAATTTCTGCCTTTTTTAAGGAATTTCTGCTTGCCTTGGTCACAGACAGCAATTTAATGAATTCTGGAGAAGCTCAGAGCTGATGCAGCCAGAGCAGGGAGTTCTGCTTTCAATCCCAAATCATTTCTGGCTTCTTTGTCCTTTTAAATCCAACCAGAACCATTGTTCAGCTAAATTAATGAATTGATCCTATTAATTGATTGCTATTTTTAAAAGGGGATTTGTTTTGAAGGTTGGGAATCATTGCTGTGCAACCCTTCCGTGTGAAATTTCACCTCAGCATCTTGCAAATATTTATTTGCACTCCCATTTTGCTGCTGGATCTTTTTCCCTCCGCTGGGACCGACCCAGAACTGTAAAAGAGAAGTGAAATTAAAACTCAGCTGTTGAGGGAACCTGTGAATTTTTGAACAGGGAACATCTGTGCTGAGGGTTTGGTGATTTCTGAGCAGAGGCTGCTCTCCCTGAATCCCTGGCTTTAGTGACATTCCTGTCTTTAGCTTCCCTGGAAGGTGATGATTCCTGACAGACAAGCTGGCAGAAATAAATGAATGAACAACACCACCAAAAGAGAAAACAAATCAGCTTTACTCCTGAAAACTTGGGAGCTTTTCCTTTTTTTTTTCCTTTTTCCTTCCCTGTCTGCATTATGTACACGAAGCTCCTTGAGAGATTTCTTTATTACTTTATTATAATTGGTAATCTGAGCTCTATTACACTTTCCTAATGATGCTCTTCGTGTTTTGCCTGTTTAAATGTTATTTTATATATTCCCTTTACTGCCTTGCTGTAAATAAATGATTCAAAAACTCAGCAGCTCAGAGAAATCCGAGCTCCCCTACCCTGGAATCCCAGCTGGGATTTTTGGGGTTGTTTTGCTGCAGTTTTGGGGCTCTTTCACATCCACAACACTGGAATTCATCTCTCCACAGGCAGGGAAGACATGAGGGGGATTCAGGGAAGCATTGCAGGTGAGGTTTGGGTCATTTTGGATCATTTGGAGTCCGTTTTGGGTCACTTTGAGTTATTTTTGGGTCATTTTTTTGGGTCATTTTGAGTTATTTTTGGGTTATAAGAGCTTTAAGGTCCCTTCCAACCCAAACCATTCCATGATTCCAGGGCGTTCTGAGCAATTAGGGTGGCATTCTGTCCCTCCACCTCCCTAAATGACAAAAAACAACTGTTGAATCCATTTGTTCTCTCAGCAAAGATCCCTTTGGTATTTATTGAAAAATACCCATAATTCCCGCCCCCCCTTTTTTTTTTTTCTTTTTTTTTTGTCAACTCCTCAATGGATTTTAGGTTTTGTTCTTTCAAAATATTGATAGCAGGTTGGTGTAGGATGGAAGTTGTCCAGTCCCTGGCACAAGTTCTTTGCCAGTTGGGCTGAGCATTTTGGGGAGAAATGTTTCCCATCAGAGCTGGGCCCAGCACTCCCTGAATGAAAAACAAAAACCAAAAACCCAAAAAATTTGGATGTGTTTCCTTCCAAGTCTGATCCAAAATCGAGCTGGGAAAGAGCCTGGGGTTAACTCTGAGCATATGCCTGGGTTAAAATGTTTTAACAACTCTTCCAAAATTTTTAGACACCTATTATTAAAAAAAGGAAGCTCAGGGGAGTTTTTGAAGGAGCCAAAAGTTTTGATGCCACTTCCAGCTC